AAACTCTTGCACATGTTTAGAACGAATGTGCGCCACGCTAAGGCGAGAGCCACATGTTGAAAAGGAACCGTCCTCAATCCGTGAAACCCTTAGAACATGTTAAACCGAATGTGCGCCGCGCTAAGGCGAGAGCCAACAGTTTGAAAGCCACTCGCCCTCAATCCGTGAAGCTTCTGCAAATGGTTGAACGAATGTGCCCCGCGCTAAAGCGAGAGCCACATTTTGAAAACGACCCACCCTCCATCTGTGAAGCTGTTGCCAACTTTAAGCTTCAGAGTCATAAGTGGTCGGGGAATCTCAGGCGAAACGCCCGGCCCGCCCTAAATAAAAATTGGCCTCGGGGTGCGACAGGGAGAAATTATGCATAAGGAAAAGGCATGGAGGAGGAGCAGGAGGAGGAGGAAGAGGAGGGGGAGAGGTAGGAGGAGAGGGGAGGGAGGAGGAAGATGAGGAGGAGAAGGAGGAGGAGCAGGAGGAGGAGGAGGAGGAGGAGGAGGAAGAGGAGCAGGAGGAGGATGAGGAGGAGGAAGAGGAGGGAGAGCAGGATGAAGGATGAAGCACGATGGATGAAGGATGAATGATGACGTAGGAAAGAGGAATGAGGAAGAAGGAAGGCGGAAGGCGGAAGGAGGACTGAGGAGGGAGTCGGAGGCAGGAGGATGGAGTGGGAGAGGAGGAGGAGGAGGAAGGGGAAAAGAGGAAGGAGGAAGGAGTAAGAAGGAAGGAGGACGGCGGACGAAGAAAGGAGGAAGGAGGAAGGAGGAGGAGGAGGAGGACAATTAATCAGGATGTCGGAATGCGGGAGGAGGAGGAGGAGGAGGAGGAGGAAGGATGAGTAATGAAGGATGACGTAGGAAGCAGAAATGAGGAAGGAGGAACTAGGACGGAGGAGGCATTCAGAAGGATGATGATGATGAGGATGAGGAGGTGGAGGAGCTGCAGGAGGAAGGGAGGAGGAAGGAGGAAGGAGGAATGAGGAAGGAGGACAGAAAATCGAGGAAGGAGGAATCATAAAGTAGGGGGAGGAGGAGGAGGAGGAGGAGGAGGAGGAGGAGGAGGAGGAAGAGGAGCAGGAGGAGGATGAGGAGGAGGAAGAGGAGGGAGAGCGGATGAGCGGGAAGAGAGGAGGAGGGGAGGGGAGGAGGAGGAGGAGGAGGAGGAGGAGGAGAGGAGGAGGAGGAAGATAAGGGGGGAGGGAGGAGGGAGTCCGGTCGTGCAGGGCCCGGTCAGACAGGTCCGGCATCAGTATCGACATCTGCCAGGCCCACTGGGCCTGGCAGTAGGGCACAAGGCGGAGCCTCCTCGGGAACTAAGGAGCAGGCCCATGTTGCGGAAACGGGAAAAGAAAGAAGGAGGAAGGAGGAGACAGGAGGAGAAGGAGGAGGAGGAGGAGGAGGAGGAAGATGATGATGATGATGATGATGATGATGATGATGATGATGATGATGATGATGATGATGATGATGATGATGATGATGATGAGATGATGATGATGATGATGGTGATGGTGATGGTGATGGTGATGGTGATGGTGATGGTGATGTTGATGGTGATGATGATGATGCTGATGCTGATGCTGATGGCGATGCTGATGCTGATGGCTGCTGATGCTGCTGATGCTGCTTGCTGATGATGATGATGATGATGATGATGGGTGATGGTGATGGTGATGGTGATGGTGATGGTGATGGTGATGGTGATGGTGATGATGGTGATGATGGTGATGATTGTGGTGATGATCATGCTGATGAGGAGGAGGAGGAGGAGGAGGAGGAGGAGAGGAGGAGGAAGCATGAGGGAGGAAGAAGGAGGAGGTAATTAGGAGGAGGGAGGGAGGAGGAGGGAGGAACTGGGAGGGAGACAGAGCACGCGGAGCAGGAGCAGCAGGAGGGGCGAGGGCCGAGGGGAGCCCCGCGGCCCCAGGCGGTGCGGACGCATGCCGAGGCCCGGGCGCTGCTCGCCGAGCTCGGCGTCTCGGAGGCCGGGCGCCGGCGTCGACGCCTCCACGCCGACGTCGACGCCGACAGCGACTACGACGCCGACGTCGACGCCGTCCGTCGCGCGCGCCCCCCTCCTCCACCCTCCTTCCCCCCCGTCCCCCCCCCCCTCCCCCCCCCCCTCCCCCCTCCTCCCCCTCCCCCTCCCCTCCCCCTCCCCCCCTCCTCCTCCTCCTCCTCGCCCCCTCGAAGCCCGACCGCCGCTCGGACCGGAGACGCCGCCGATCCACGGGCTCTGCCGACCTTCGATGGCTCCAACCCAGACGCCCAAGGCCAGACCGCACGGCCCGTCGCCGCACCGCTTCGGGACTCCGGGGCCGCCCGCGGCTCCCCCCGCGTCCGTTCGTGCCTTCCCCCCCCCCCGATGCCCTTCGACGGCCAGCGACGCGGTCGACGCCGTCCGACGCCGTCGGCGGAATGAGCGCGGCTGTAAGGCGAGAGCCCCCTTTGGAAAAACTGCTACCCCCCCCCCTCCATCTCTGCAGATGTCTCACGAGCTCAAGGTATGCGAGTGCGTGCGGCGCTCGGGCTGAGACCCAATGCTGGCAGGGAAGCGCCCTCCATCCTTGTACCTGCTGCGGCCTGCTGGAGACGAATGTGCGGGGTGCAAAGGCGAGAGCCACATTTTGAAAACGACCTCATCCACACGCAGGTAATTGTTGCAATGCTTTGATCTGGATGTGGGCGGCACTAAGGAGATAGCTCCATTTTGACACCGCCTCCCTTTAATCTCCGTAGTTGCTGCAGTATGTTAAGAGAAACGTGCGCGGCGCAAAAGCGAGAGCCCCATTTTGAAAACGACCCCCCGCCCCCTCTATTGTTGTGAGTGTCACAACCTTTCAAGACGAATGCGCGCGCCGCTAAGGCGAGAGCCCCATCTGGAAAACCATCCCTTCCATCCTTGTAACCGTGGCAAGCTTTAAGCTGCAGGATCACAAGTCGTGAGGAAATCTCAGGCGGCCCGCCCAGCACGCCCTACCGACACGTCTCGGGGTGCGTTAGGGCGGAGCAAGTTCAAGACGGAAATGGATGGAGGTGATGACGTTGAGGATGAGTCCGCTGTTGATGATGATGATGATGATGATGATGATGATGATGATGGTGGTGGTGGTGGTGGTGATGATGATATTATAATGATGATGATGATGCTAATGATGAGGATGGGTATGAGGATGAGGAGGATGAGGATGATGATGCGGATGATGAGGATGCTGACGATGACGATGATGATGATGATGCTGATGAGGCTGATGCTGATGATGATTTTGATGATGAGGAGGAGGACGAGGAGGAGGAGGATGGTGACTGTACATATGCACATGCATATGAATATTGACCTGGAGATGCAGAAGAAGGTACCTATGACGCTGGTAATGACTTTGACGATGGTACTGATGATGATGGTGATGAGGATGAGGATGAGGAGGGTGAGGATGAGGAGGATGATGATGAGGATGATAATGGTGGTGCTGGTGGTGGCGATGATGATGATGATGATGATGCTGATGATGATGATGATGATGATTAAGATGATGCTGGTGATGATGATGATGACGATGGTGATGACGATGGTGAAGGTGATGCTGGTGATATTGATGCTGGTGATTATAAGGGTGGTGATGATGATGCTGATGCTGATGCTGATGATGCTGACGGTGATGGTGTTGGTGATGGTAATGATGATGCTGCTGATGATGATGCTGATGATGATGACGATGATGATAACGATATTTACTTTGATGGTGTGGATGATGATGATGATGATGATGATGATGATGATGATGATGATGGTGACGATGAGTGTGAGGATGAGGAGGAGGATGAGGATGAGGATAACGATGACGCTGACGATGTTGATGATGATGATGATGGTGATGATGGTGATGCTGATGATGACGATGGTGATGCTGATGATGATGATGATACTGATGATGATGATGCTGACGATGATGGTACTGATGATGATGTTGATGATGACAATGACGATGTTGGTGATGACGATGCTGATGATGATGACGATGGTGACGATGCTGCTGGTGATACTGATGCTGGTGCTGATGATAATGGTGATGCAGGATGATGATGATCGTGATGATGATGAGGATGGTGATGACGATGCTGATGATGCTGCTGATGATGGTGATGACGATGATGCTGATGATGCTGATGATGATGATGATGTTGATGCTGATGATAGTGATGATGATGGTGGTGATGATGATGCTGCTGATCATGTTGATGCTGATGATGGTGATGATGCTGATGATAATGATGCTGATGCGGATGCTGATGCTGATGCTGATGCTGATGCTGATGCTGATGCTATGATGATGCTGCTGCCTCTGCTGATGATGATGATGATGATGATGATGATGATGATGATGATGATGATGATGATGATGATGATGATGATGATGATGGTATGATGCTGCTGCCGTTGCTGCTGCTGCTGATGATGATGGTGAGGAGAGGAGGAGGAGGAGGAGGAGGAGGAGGAGGAGGAGGAGGAGCAGCAGCGCGAGGAGGAGGAGGAGGAGGCAGGAGGATGAGGCAGCGAGGTGGAGGAGAAGGAGGAGGATGATGATGAGGAGGAGGGGAGGAGGAGGAGGAGGAGGCAGAAGGAGCCAGGATAGGATGAGCAGGTGGCGGAGGAGGAGTAGGAGGAGGAGGAGGAGAGGAGGAGGAGGAGGAGGAGGAGGAGGAGGAGGAGGAGGAGGAGGAGGAGGCAGGAGGAGCAGGAGGAGGAGGAGGAGCAGGAGGAGGCGGAGGAGGAGGAGGAGGATGAGGAGGAGCAGGAGCAGGAGCAGGAGCAGGAGCAGGAGCAGCAGGAGGAGCTGGAAGGAGCAGGACGATGGGGGAGGCCAGGCGCCCTCCGCAGCAGCAGGCCGAGGCCGCTGCCACTGGCGCTCTCCGACCCCCTCCCTGCGCGCGCCCCGCGGCAGGTCTCGCTCGCGGCCCCGCCGTGCGCGCTCCTGTTCCGCGACTTCGACCTCGAGGAGCCCT